CGGCCCTTCCAGAAGGTTCTGCCTGGAGTTTGCCGGGCTGGGCCGGCGCTGGGCTTCGGTCCCAGGAACCTCCTTCCGGACTTTGGATCCATTTGCAACGCCTCGGGTCCCCGGAGGCCGGGGAAGACTCGGCCGCTTAGCTCAAGTGGGAGGAAAGGGGAGGTCCGGAATTTTCCATATTGTTTGTCCCACCGTCTTTCAGAGCTGGGCCTGCGGGTTTTATTGATAATCGATGGCTGAACTCGAGCAGCCGTTTCCACGCAGGATCAAGAGCCGTGCCTGGAAGACATGCCGGAGGTGGCCTCAGCCTGGTGCGCCCTGGTGTGACCACAACCACCTGGATGTGCGTGATCGCCTGGGATGTGGGGGACCAACTGGAATGTGGTTGATCGCCTGGATGTGCGTGATCGCCTGGGATGTGGGTGATCACCTGGATGTGCGTGATCGCCTGGAGTGTGCGTGATCGCCTGGGATGTGCGTGATCGCCTGGGATGTGCGTGATCGCCTGGAGTGTGCGTGATCGCCTGGAGTGTGTGTGATCGCCTGGGATGTGCGTGATCGCCTGGGATGTGGGGGACCAACTGGAATGTGGTTGATCGCCTGGAGTGTGTGTGATCGCCTGGAGTGTGTGTGATCGCCTGGGATGGGCGTGATCGCCTGGGATGTGCGTGTGCAGAGAGGCAGCTGTCAAGTCACGCAGCTTGATGGGGCGAGGAAAGCAGTATTTACAGTTAATGTCAAGTCTGTGTGCGTGTGAAAATATTCAACTTGCCCTCCAAAGATTTCATGAGTGATGTTCAACAATGGAGTTTAAAATAGGCACATTTTAAATGTCCAGAGTTTTCTGTACATTCTTATGTTCACGGAGTTCATGTCCAAAGCCATGGCCATCATGATGTTCATAAACAGTTGTCTACGTAAAAGGATTCACATTCATCCACAGCCGCTCACCGTGTACTAGGCTTTCACATGCCTTCCTCTCATGTCATCCTCAGAGGAAACCTTGGA